TCATGTGTTTCTTGGCTGCTTATGTATCATCCTCTGAGAAGTGTCTGTTCGTGTCCTTTGCCCACTTTTTGATGGGGTTGTTTTTTCTGTTCAATTCATTTGAGTTCCTTGTAGATCCTGGATGTTAGCCCTTTTGGATACATAGCTTGCAAATACTTTTTTCCCATTCCATGGGCTGTCTCTTAATTTCTTGATGGTTTCTTTTGCTGTGCAAAAACTTTCAGTTTGATAAGGTCCCACCTGTCCATTTGAACTTCTGCTGCATTTGCTCTTGAGGAGTGGACCATGAATTAATTGTCTACTCCAGAAAGGTGTTCCCTAAGTTTTCTTCTAAGATTCTTATGCTTTGAGGTTTCACATTTAAGTCCATGATCCATTTTGAGTTAATTTTTGTATATGGTGATAGATAGTGGTCCAATTTCATTTGTCTGCATGTGGCTAGCCTGTTTTTTCCCAGCACTTTTGCTAATGGTATCTTTTCCCCAATGTTTGTTTTAGTTGGCTTTGTCGAAGATGAGTTGATTGAAGGTCTGTGGTTTTATTTCCAGATTCTGTGTCCTGTTCTATTAGTCTCTGTGTCTATTTTTGTACCAGTACCATACTGTCTTGCTTATTGTAACCTTATAGTAAAGTTTGAAGTCTAGAAGTATGATGCCTTCAGCTCTTCTAGCTACTTAGAAATGTACAATTGGCTGAGCTCGGTGACTCAGCCTGTAATCCCAGCACTTTGGGAGGCCGAGGTGAGAGGATTGCCTGAGCCTGCTGGTTCAAGACCAGCCAGGGCAACTTCATGAGACCTCATCTCTAAAATGAAAAACAAAAAATATAAATTAGCCAGGTATGGTAGCGTGCACCTGTAGTTCCAGCTACTTGGAAGACTGAGGCTGGAGCCCAGCCGGTTGACTCTGGGGTCGTGAGCGTGTGTGCCACTGCACTCCAGCCTGGGTGACAGAGTGAGACTCCAACTCAATAAAAAAAGATATGTATATACATAATTGATTAATGCTAAGTATAGTCACCCTGTTGATTATTGAATACCAGTTTTACTTCTTTAATCTAACTTTGTATTAGTACCTATTAAAACCTCTCTTCATTCCCTTTCTACCTCCCAGCCTCTGATAACCATCTTCTATTCTCTATCTCCACTAGTTCAGTATTTCTTCTTTTTAGCTTCTACATATTAGTGAGAACATATGATTCATATTTGTCTTTCTGTACCTGACTTATTTCACTTAACATAGTGTTCTCTAGTTCCATCTACATTGTTGCAAATGACAGAATTTTGTTCTTTTTTGTGGCTGAATAATATTCCATTTTGCATGTGTACCACATTTTTTTCTCCATTTGTTGAGGGTCACTTGGGTTGATTCCATATGTTGCTTATTGTGAATAGTGCTGCAGTAAACATCAGTTATAGATATCTTTTTGATATATTGATTTCCTTTCTTTTGTATATATAGCCAGTAGTGGAATTGCTGGTTCATATTGTAGTTCTATTTTTAGTTTTTTTAGTAACCTCCATACTGTTTTCCATAGTGGCTGTAGTAATTTGCCTTCTTCCCAATAGTGTACAAGGGTTCTCCTTTTTTTACGTCTTGCCATCATCTGTTATTCCTGCCATTTTGATAAAAGCTATTGTAACTGAGCTGAGATGATATGTCATTGTGGTTTTGATTTGCATTTCTCTGGTGATTAGTACCATAATATTGAGCATTTTTTCCTATGCTTGTTGGCCATTTGTGTATCTTCTTTTGAGAAATGCTTATTTAAATCTTTTGCCCATTTAAAAATAGAATTTTGTTTTTGTTTTTGTTTTGCTATTGAGTTGTTTGAGTTCCTTACATATTCTATTTATTGATTCCTTGTCAGATGGGTGGTTTGCAGATATTTTCTCTTTTCTGTGAGTTGTCTGTTTATTGTTTCCTTTACTGTGCAGATGTTTTTTTAACTTGCCATAATACCATTTGTCTCTTTTTACTTTGATTGCCTGTGCTTTTGAGGTCTTAAAAAAAAAAAAATTCCTTGTCCAGACCATTGTCCTAGAGCATTTCCCCAGTGTTTTCTTCTAGTAGTTTCACAATTTTAGGTCTTAGATTCAAGTCTTTGATCTATTTTAATTTGACTTTTGTATATAGTGAGAGAGAGGGGTCTAGTTTCATTCTTCTGTATATGGTTATTCAGTTTTTCCAGGACTATTGATGAGACTGCTTTTTTCCCACTGTATGTTCTTGATGTCTTTGTCAAAAATGAGTGGGTGGAAAATGCATGGGTTCAGATATGTGTTCTCTGTTCTAGTGGATTCTGGATTCTGGATTCTCTGCTAGTACCATGCTTTTTGGTTACTGTAGCTTTGTAGTAAATTTTGAAGTTAATGGATACCACCAGCTTTTTGCTCAGGATTTCTTTGACTATTCAGGGCTTTTTGTGGTTCCATTTAAATCTTAAGATTTCTATTTCTGTGAAGAATGTTATTGGTATTTTGCTAGGGATTGCATTGTATATGTAAGTTGCTTTGGACAGTACTATTATTTTAACAATGTTAATTCTTCCAATCCATGAGCTTGGGATATCTTTCTGTGTCCTAATCAGCTTATCAGTGTCTTACAGTTTTTCTTGTACAGATCTTCCACATCTTTGGCTAAATTGATTCCTAGTTATTTTGTATTCTTTATAGATATTATAAATGGGATTGCTTTTTATTATTATTATTTTTTTTTAGTCAAGGTCTTACTCTGTGACCCAGGTGGGAGTGCAGTGGCATGATCACGGCTCACTACAGCCTCGACCTCCTGGGCTTAGGCAATCCTTCCACCTCAGCCTCCAAATAGCTGGGGCTACAGGTGCCACCACATCTAGCTAATTTTTTGATTCTTTTATAGAGACATCTCACTATGTTGTCAAGGTTGGTCTTGAACTCCTGGGCTCAAGAAGTCCTCCCTATGTGGCGTCACCAAATAGCTGGGATTACAGGTGTGAGCCACTTTGTGGGATTGCTTTTTTGATTTCTTTTTCAGATTGTTTGCTGTTGGCATATATGAACACTGCTGATTTTTGTGTGTTGATTTTGTATCCTACAACTTTACTAAACTGAATTAATCAGTTCTAATGGTTTTTTCGTGGAGTCTAGGTTTTTCTAAAAATAAGATCATGTTGACTGCATGTTGTCAAGTTAGTTTGACTTTTTTCTTTCCAGTTTGGATGCCCTTTATTTCTTTCTCTTGCCTAGTTCTGGGCATGACTTTCAGTATTATGTTGAATAAAAGTGGGCATCCTTGTCTTGTTCCAAACATTAGAAGAAAGGGTTTCCATTTTTTCTCATTTAGTAGTGTGTTGTTGGCTGTGAGTTTGTAATATATGGCCTTTATTATTTTGAGGTATGTGCGTCTAAACCCACTTTGTTGTCATGTGGAATTTTATTGTATGCTTTTTGTATCTGTTGAAATAATCACATTGTTTTTGTTCTTGGTTCTGTTCATGTGATGCATCATGTTTATTGATTTGTGTATGTAAAACCATCCTTGCATCTCTGGGGTGAATCCCACTTGATCATGGTGAATGATCTTAATATGTTGTTAAATTTAGTTCACATTTCTCTAATAACTTATAGTGCTGAGCATTTTTAAAATGTATCTATTTGCCATCTTTATTTATTGCTTGGTGAAATGTCTCTTCAAAAAATGTTTGGTCCACTTTTCTTATTAGGTTTGTTTTCTTATCATTGCAGAGTTCTTTATATATTCTGGATATAAATCCTTTATCAGATAGCAGTTTTGTAAATTTTTTTTCCTAGTCTGTGGCTTCTGTTTTGTGTTCTTAATTTCTTTCTAAGAGTTTTTTTTATTTTGAAGTTCAGTGTATCATTTTTCTTTTATGGATTGTGCTTTTGGTGTTGTATCTAAGACATCTTTGCTGAACTTGAGGTCACAAGGATTCTTTCTTAGGTTTTCTAGATGTTTTATAATGTTAGGTTTTACATTTAGGTCCGTGATCCATTTTGAGTGTGTGTGTGTGTGTGTGTGTGTGTGTGTGTGTGTGTGTATGATATATATATGTATTGTTAGTGTTACTGTGTTGCCTTTAGTTAACTCTACCCTCATACCAGAAATTTTTGAAATTTTTGAAATGAATGCACACAACCCAATTTAATTGGGAAGGTAAACTTGTATGGTTCATTTGAATTACCAGTTGATTTTAATGTAAATTCTTGCAAAAGATATGTTCATAGTTTCTTATATTTTGTTTAATGCTATAAAATTAGATTAATCTTGCCTGTGATGTATAATTCCATATATATTTGTTTAGAAGTTATGCTGTTAAAATGGTAAGATAAAGTAGTATTCAGTTTAAATTATAATTTGAATGAACAAGCAAATGGTTTTCCTTTGTTGAGAAAATAAAATATGAAGCCAGTTCAGTATTCTGCAAGTAAGATATGTTAAGAAGCAGTAAGAGCCTACTTCCTTTCTTTCAGGACCTTTGCACATGCTGTTTTCCACTGCCTAGAACAGTATTCCCCCAGTTACTATATAGTTCATGCCCTCATTCCTTCAAATCTTTGTACAAATGTCACTCCCAATGAGGCCCTCCCTGCTGGTGCTGTTTAAAATTGCAGTCCCTCTCCCTTCAGTAGTCCCGCTTCTGCTTCCCTGTTTTATTTTTCTTGTAGCATTTTACTATCCTCTGACATACATTTTACCTACTGGTCTACCTCCCCTACCAGAATATAAGGCCCTGAGCAGGGATTTTTGTTTTGTTGACTAATATATGCTTAGAAGCTAAAATGTTGCCTTGCATGTAGTAGGTATTCAGCAAATGTTGAATGAATAAGTTAAATCTATGAAGCTATACATATTTACCACATGGTTAATTTTAAACCCCAGAGCTTCTAAAAGAACCTTTTAACAAGAGAAGAAAATATTTTCCAACAATTTGAGATGATTTAGTGAATATTTGCTGTGGAAACTTATTTTTATGATTATTGGGTTTTTTATTGTTTGCAGGGGTCAGTTTGGCAAAGACTTGGTGCAGATGTGACAGCAGTTGAATTTTTGGGTCACGTAGGTGGAGTTGGAATTGATATGGAGATATCTAAGAACTTTCAACGCATTCTTCAAAAACAGGGGTTTAAATTTAAATTGAATACAAAGGTTACTGGTGCTACCAAGAAGTCAGATGGAAAGATTGATGTTTCGTAAGTATGCTATCTTTGTTTGGATCATCCTTGTCTGTGTGTTTCTTTAAGCAAAACACTCAAGTTTCAAAATCAGATAAGCAAATATAGAATTTTTTGTAACTTAAGATCATTTTCTTACTTCATGCAACTCAGTATTGTTTATAACATTATTGTATTAGTGTATTGAAATTCATGATTAAGTTGATGCTTACTAGAAAGATTAAGCCAGTGTTCTCATGATTGTAATATACCTTTTCATAGTCTTCATTCAGAAAATTTTACATTCCCAACATTCAGTAAAATTAATTCAGTATTTTTAGACAGATAGATTGAGAATCAATAATAATAGCTCATTATGTACCTGGCAATCTACTTATTAAATACTTACATAATTTAACGAAATAACTTGCCTAATATCACATAGCTAGTAAGTAGCAGTCAATACTTAAACTTGGATTTTGTGACTCTGAGACCTATACATTTTTTTTGAGTTGGTGTCTCAGCCGTCCAGGCTAGAGTACAGAGGCAATGATCATGACTCACCTCAGCCTTGACCTAATGGGCTCAGGTGATCCTTCTGGCTCAGCCTCCCAAATAACTGGGATTACATGTGTGTAACACTGTGCCTGGCTAATTTTTTTGTAGAGACAAGGTCTCACTATGCTGCTTAGGTTGGTCTCCAACTCCTAGGCTCAAGCAATCCTCCTGCCTGCCTTTGCCTCCCAAAGTACCGGAATTATAGGCATGAATCACTGCGCTCAGTTGAGATATATCTATATTATTAATCACTGTGTTATACTGTGGTTTTTTTGTGAGATTTTAATGGTAGACCTCTATTGGATGTGTACATGTTTTCATCATCTGACCCATATGTTTATGTTTATAATCAAATAAATTCATATTGTTAAAAATGTCATCAACACTTAAATGCCTGGTCTTGCGTTTCTAAGTCTACTAATTTATGTAGATTTGTATTTAACATTTATACACTGCTCATTGTCTAGTATTGAAGCTGCTTCTGGTGGCAAAGCAGAAGTTATCACTTGTGAGGTACTGTTGGTTTGCATTGGTCGACGACCTTTTACTCAGAATTTGGGACTAGAAGAGCTTGGAATTGAGCTAGATCCCAGAGGTAGAATTCCAGTCAATACCAGATTCCAAACCAAAATTCCAAAGTAAGTGGAACAATTATCTTCATTTTCAATAATACTAAAATTTATTTCAAACCCTATTTTGAAAAATAAAACTTTTGTTATGCTTTAAAAATGTATTGGCTTTGGGGAAGAATAATAAACTTACAGGTTGTAAAATGAAAAATAATCGAATTTTTCGTTGCTTAAAAATGGGAAGTTGAATTCATAGATTTTTGGAGAGTTGCATTTGATACATTTTTTGGTGACTTTTACTAACTGGAAACTTAGACTTTTGTTACCATAATGTAGCTGAAGATAAGTATTTGCGATTTCAGAAGTTCACTGTGTTTCTTTTGATCTCTGTGGTAGTATCTATGCCATTGGTGATGTGGTTGCTGGTCCTATGCTGGCTCACAAAGCTGAAGATGAAGGCATTATCTGTGTTGAAGGAATGGCTGGTGGTGCTGTGCACATTGACTACAATTGTGTGCCATCAGTGATTTACACACACCCTGAAGTTGCTTGGGTTGGCAAGTCAGAAGAGCAGTTGAAAGAAGAGGTAATCCTGAATGTGGGTGGTATTATGCCAGTGTGTGAATTGAGCTGATGACACTCGTGGTTTAGAAAAAACATTTTATCACTGTGTTAATGTATTTGACAACTATAAAACATAGTTTAATTCATATATATTTTCCTTGGTTAGCAACATAAAGAGATCATTTACTTTTTAGATTTATTAGTAGTAATAGTGAGGAGACTTTGCCTGTATTCAAAAACCAGTAATTCTAAAGGTTTTATATTTGACTTTGAAATGTAACCAGATGGACAGACATTTATATTTGCTTGCATTTGTACCCAAATATATTTCATTAATCAGCCTTTTGGTCTTTCCTTCTATGTGCTGTATGAATAGTTGCCTTCTTGGGATTTATTTTAAGAACAAATGGTAGATGATTTCACCAATGGGAATGAACTTTGTCAATACTTATGTAGATTCTCTCTCTATATCACAGGGTATTGAGTACAAAGTTGGCAAATTCCCATTTGCTGCTAACAGCAGAGCTAAGACAAATGCTGACACAGATGGCATGGTGAAGATTCTCGGGCAGAAATCAACAGACAGAGTGCTGGGAGCACATATTCTCGGACCAGTGAGTATTGCAAAACCAGAGATCCCATTAAGAGTCCTAGAAAGCATTGCTGTTGATTCATTTTGAACCACCTGGTATTTTAATTCTGAGGTTACTCATTATCAGTAAAATTTTGAATTTGGCCTCTCTGCATCATTTCTAGCAGGGTACCAACAGCACTTTCACAGTCTTCCCCTTTGTCGGCTATCTATACTGCAGCCAAGATGATCTCTTCAAAACATTCAGCAGGCCATGTCCTCCAGTGGTGCTTTTCAGCTCCAGACTGCTACATACTGTATCTGTTCCTCCCTCCCTTTCTGACCTCATGTCTTTCTGCATTCCCCCTTTGCTCATTAATTCTGTGCCACATAGGCCTTCTCTCATTTTCATAACAAGCCAAGCCTGTTTGCATTTTAGGGCCTGTGGTTTGAGGTACCCTCTGCCTCCGGGCCTTTGAGGGGCTGACTCCTTATTGTCCAGGTCTCAGCTCACATGGGTCTGGGAAGCCTTCCTTTTCACTGAGCCTAAAGTATATCCTTGCTCTAGATAAATGTTGTTTCTGATGTAACAATGAGAATAGCATATTTGAGTGCTTACTCTGTCACTTTATACATACACTATTGTATTTTTTACAACAGCTTTGTGAGACAGATGGCTGCTATTATTTTTGAGGTGAAGAAACTGAATGAAGCACCCAGAACCAGTGGGTGGTTGAGGTAGTAAGTGGTAGATATGAATCTGGGCCATCTGGCTCTAGAGCTCAAGGTCTTCTCTGTCACCTTTTCCTGACTGGAGGACTTTTTCCTGGCTTTCCTCAACTGCTATAACAACAAAGATGTAAGGCAATTTTAAGATCTAAAAGCCTGCTTTTTTAACCATTTCTGTCCTGTTAGTGTACAGTTATTTTTGCTGTGAAAGCAAAATACTTCTTGGCTTGTTGTTTTAAAGGGTGCTGGAGAAATGGTAAATGAAGCTGCTCTTGCTCTGGAATATGGAGCATCCTGTGAAGATATAGCTCGAGTCTGTCATGCGCATCCGGTAATTATTCACAACATTCAGAATTAATGACTGCCTAAATTTTCTTCTGACTTACAAATACTTGGATTTAATTCTAAATTTTTTTCCCTTGTAGACCTTATCAGAAGCTTTTAGAGAAGCAAACCTGGCTGCATCATTTGGCAAATCAATCAATTTTTAAACTAGAAGATTATATATGTCTTCTGAAATTTCCTGGGAGCTTTTGTAGAGGTCCCATTTCTGAACAGGATATGCTCACAGCTCCAAGAATTTCTAGGACTGAATTATGAAACTTTTGGAAGGTATTTAATAGGTTTGGACAGAATGGAATACTCTCATATCTATATTTTACATAAATTTAATATTTTGTTTTAATGTATTAATATGCAGGATAAAAAGCTACTTATAGTAGCTTCCTGGGAAATTTTCATCAATCCATATTTTCTTGTTTATGAAAGATTCAACACCGCTGAATTTGTTACGTAGCTTTTTGATACAGAAAAGTCGAGTTTACTTTTACATGGATGGAGTTGGAGTATGGTATGTGAACAGTTATGTTTGAAGCAAGGTGATCAAGTTAAATTTCATTTGGTTTTCATATTGGAAACAAGTCAGGCCGGTGAGATTCAAATATGTATAAACTGATGTAAATAAAAAATGGTTTCTCACTTGTTTTATTTAACCCCTAAATTCTTACAGTTTAAGGGTATAATGTATGTGTTTAAGAGGTTCCATTGAGCTCTGCAAGTCTGAAGGATAGCTAGTGGTTACCTAAATTAACAGTCTACAAACTCAAATATTAAGTGGAAACTCAAATGTATTACAGTGGGGAATGAAGATCTTGAAATAAACATGTCTTAAATATTTATTTACTGGTTTTTCTGAGTGAATGTCAAGATCGTCCTAGCTTTCTTTTTTTTGAGTTGGAGTCTCACTTTGTCACCCAGACTGGAGTGCAGTGGCTGCTCCTAGCCACTGCAGCCTCGACCTGCTCGGCTCCAACGATCCTTCCGTCTCAGCCTTCCAAGTAGCTGGAACTACAGGCACATGCCACTATGCTCGGCTAGTTTTTTGATTTATTGTAGAGATGAGGTCTCGCCAAGTTGCCCCGGGCAGGTCTCGAACCCACGGGCTCAGGCAGTCCACTCACCTCAGCCTCCCAAAGCACAGGATTATGGGCTGAACCACCCAGCTCGGCTCGTCCTAGCTTTTTTATGACTTCTTGTACTGTGTATTCTTATTATTCTTTATTGCTTTTATAGGCCTGAATGTATCTTTTTTTCATATCATATACTATAAAGGCATTTGAAAGGTCATTTACCCTTTCATCAGTTTTAGAGACACTTACTGTTTAGCATATACTTCTGGAAAAATATAGCAGAAGGGAGTCTTGGGTCTTTTCCTATGTGAATTTCCTTGGCTTGACAAATGACTTTTTCTTTAAAGAGTGTTATAAAAATTGCATGTATTGATAATTGTTTAAAATGGCCATGTCTTGAGACACTAAGAGCTAAATAGGTGTTTGCATATTATAACTAAACTTAAGATTCATTCAGATTCATTATGTAGTTCTCAGATTTGGTATAAGTAGCATAGATTCTATTATGGTCATTATGAGTGAGACATCGTAGAGATCCTGGATTCTGCTACATACTTTTGAAGAAAATAGATTTTTGTGTTAGTCGGCTGTTAACTTGACTGCACACTAGCTCCAAACTCTGCCTTCTTTGTAGGGGCAGCAGCTGAAATGTCCTCAGTTGTTTTAGCATTCCTGTGCTGCCTGAAGTCTTTCTTGTGCATGTGTAGTTCAAGAATCAGCCAGAGATCGGGCAGAGTTTCTGCAGAGTTTGAGGCCACTGACTTCTGTGCCTTTTTTCTGGGATTTTCCCCTTTACATTCCAGTTGTTGTGGTTGCCTCAAACCCTGTTCTCTGATTCCTTCACCAACAAAACTTGACTTTTATCTTCCCATCAAGTGAAAACGTGTTAAAAATGGGATGTTTAGCTGGTGCTATTCTTTTTTAAGTGCCAGCTTCTTTCTACTTTCTGCCTGTTTGTGATTGCTTTCCAGTGCTTGACATTTAAAAAATATATATAATTTAATCAGAGTTTATAGTTTTTATCAGCAGGAAGATTGGTCTAATATGTGCTACTTTATTATTATTGGAAGTGAACTCTGCATTTTTAAAAAATTTGAAAACTTAGTGTTATGTGAATTGCTAGTTTATTTAAACCTCAGCCATGTCCCCTATTCCCAGGGGAGGAGTTTCTAACTAGGGAATAGTGAGATATAATATGAAATCCTAGCTGTAGAGACAAAATAATTAAAAGTTAAGTCCAACTTTGTTTCCATTCAGTATGAGAATGCAGGCATATCTTGGTGGAGAATAAGGTCACTTAAGGTTTTAAATGTTCACTTACTGTTACCTACTAAGCACTTATATTTTTTCTTTCTTTCATTTTTTTTTTTTTGAGTTGGAGTCTCACTCTGTTGCCTAGACTGGAGTGCAGTGGTCGCTCCTGGCCACCACAGCCTCGACCTGCTGGGCTGGGCTCCGGCGATCCTTCCGCCTTAGCCTTCCAAGTAGCTGGAACTACAGGCACGTGCTACCATGCCCAGCTAATTTTTGATATATTGTAGAGATGAGGTCTCACCAAATTGCCCAGGTGGGTCTTGAACCCGTGGGCTCAGGCAATCCACTCACTTCAGCCTCCCAAGGCGCGGGATTACAGGCTGAGCCACCGAGCCCAGCTCATATTTTCTTGAAGGGTGGGTTTATTTGTCTAGTTCATTGAGCTTATTAAAATTAATTTAAAAATGAGGTCTTTGGTTATTTAGCTGAAAAGGAATGGGAATGAGAGAGTTTCTATTGTTTTAAGTAAAATACCTATTAAAGAAAAAATAAAATTGCTCTAGTAGATGATGAGATATGACCATTTTGCTATAACTAGGATTATAAGGATTATGAGGATTCTTAACCTAAGTAAAAGTGACAAATAATTGTCTTGGGCCAGAGGGAAATTGCCTTATTGTTTAAATTATAGCTGTTTATATAACTTTTGGCCAAGTCCAGCTTCAAATGCAGCTGGTTTGGCTGTGTGGGGGTGGTTGTTAAGCAGTTCACAGAATAGTCTTGCTCTAAGAACATGTGAAAAAAACATTTAGGGGCTGGACGTTTTTAGGCTATAAAGTTGACACCAGCTTGGCAATTATATTCCATCGATTTTCATTATCTTGTAGATTGTTTATATGACTGTTTGGATTGTTATATGACTGGCCTCACCTACAAATTGTAGCAGAGACTCTTTAGTTGCTAAATTACATAAAATACAATATAAAAGTTGAGAAATTAGAGCATCATTCTGTACTTTTTAGTAGCATTGCTCAATTGGCAGGAGCTGTAGCCATAAACTCTGGCGTGATTTCATTGAAACCTTCCCCTCAGCAACCCTGGGCCTATCCTAGGTGGTAATACTTAGAAGCCACAGAATTCATCCTCCTGATTTTCTAAAACATTGCTTTATGTTTTCATTCCTAGAGCAAGGAAAACTTACAGGAATTTTGGCGACTGGAACAACTAAGCAGCCATTGAAATAGTGAAAGTAGTAATGGGCTATAGCCTTCCATTAACTTTGACCAGGATTCCCGCTGGGAGGTGATTAGGGGGATGAGAGGTGTGGATTTTTGGAGGTTATTTACCTGTCAAACATGAATAACAGCTTGTTTTAAGATATAACATATAAATTAGGGTCTTCATAATGGCAGTAAACTTATTAATAAATACATCTTTACAGTGACTATAACATTCTTTGTTTAAGGAGTCATGATTCAGTAAGAGTAACAATGAATTTAAGAACTATACTAAATATATATTCATACAAAAGCACTGTATTTTATTTAACGCCATACAAAATTTGGTGATTAAAAACATTAAATAGGTAATGAGTTTATTTTGAAGTCATTAGTCACTTTTTAAAATACAGCTGTTTCACTTTGGTCACCTCAGCCGTATCATACTTATAGCCTTTTCTCCTTTGTTATAAGCATGTGCTATAAACGGCAACCTTCTGGCTTATATCCTTCAGGAGTGAGCGGACTTCTTCTTCCAGTCTCACTAATTCTTGAGCTTTATCTTCCAAATACTTTTGATTGTCCTCATATTTTCTTTCTAAATCTGAAAAAAAGGAAAAGCCTTAGCAATTTATACTGTGATGATCAAAACCAATCTTATCTTTGCCTATCATGATCTATTTAAATACCTAAGACAAAGTGAATAGATATTCATTTAAAAAAAAAAAATCATGAACATTTGTGAAAAGACCCACCTTTGAGCAGTTGCAGCTTGCTGTTTGCTTGAGCTAGAAGTGTTTTTGCTTCATTCTGGAGCATTTCAGCTTTCCTTCTTGCATCAGCTGACTCTTCGGTTTTTTTGGCAATTAAATTTTCTACCTTCTTATACTTTTCGTCAAGTTCACCATCCAGAGTCTGCAGTTCCACATTTAGACAGAAAGAGGTGATAATGTTGGTGTCAGTAATTACAGTCAGGAGCAGTATATAATCATAGCAAGCTCAGATCACATTGATCTTTAACTTGCATGGCATGCATTCTGGATTAAGTATTACCAAGGGTATTCAGGTGTCATCAAACTATTTAATGGTAAGTAATTTAAAACACTGTCATAAAACAAACAGGGGAGTTGAATGTAAAATTGACATGCTTTAAAGAGCAATTCAAAAAAAGCTGAAGTTGCAGTAAGTCTCTAGCACTATGGTCTCATTCTCTTGATTAGCACTTTGCTGTAGCAAAGTTGTAGCATAACTGCATGGAGCTATATAAAGAAGTGAAGTAGATTTTTTTTTTCCTCCAGAAGTAGGTTAGATATCAGAGAAAGCCCATGTTGAAGAAATGGACTAAGTTAGAGTTTGTGAAGACCTGATTATCAGGAAATCAGAGGGAAAAGACAGATTTAACAAAAGCTTTAGGAAGAAAGGGTGAGATTGCATCATATGCCAAAAGTGAGTGAGAAGAGAAATGGGATGTGGGTTTGGAAAGACAGTTGCAAATTATTTTTTTTAGAAGCCGTTCAAATAACAGCCATGGAAATTTCATGTAAAGGGATTTTATTTTTGTTTTTTTATTGGAAGAAAATGTCATGCAAAATGCCTATTGCAGACATTGGGAGATTTATACCCTGATAACTGCAGGAAACTACATCAACTACAACAGAAAAGACTGACATTGTGGCAGTGAACTTCATTGTTTTGTTCTCTTCCCCAACCCAGACAGGTAGGGAAGTTACTCTTACTGCCTAAAAGCTACAGTAACTTTCAGGAAAAATTTTCAATAGTAAGGAGTTATAAACTGAAATAAAGCCATTTGATAATTTAAAATGTTCACTTTGGAGATGAACATTTGCCTCCAGAAATTTAGAAACTGAACATGTGTTTCAGTTATTACATGGTTTCTAGCTAAAAATTTGGGTTATGGTTATTTAGATTTTTCTCTGCAAAATAACTACCACGTGCTTCTCATTGGAAGGCACTTTAATTCAAATGAGTCTAAGAGAGGTAAGATTTGGTTTCCACTACTTGTTCTCTGTAATGAATTCTTTAAATTTTTTCCACTCTGCTTTTAAAGTATTCTCAAATGACCAAGTAATTTACTATATGCCATGAAGATCTTCCTAATTGAAATATAGTACAGAAATACAAATTCAATATACCTGTTTAAAGACTTATACCCCTAAGTTAAGTTAATTCCAGTCTTCTAAACTCATACCCATGTTTGGATTGGAGGGTCTAGGCAGTGCTCATTGGACACGTCTCTGTCCACATGCCTTCTTTTCCACCTGCGTTTCTTTAGACTATTTCAAAACTGGTCCGTATTAGGTCCATGTCTTTCCAAGGAAGGCAAGGGGGAGACTGGTTATTCCTTCGTCAACAAGGCTCTGAAGTTCACAAAGGTGTAATTACGTTACCTTCTTGACATCTTCTGTACTTTGTTTCACAGTATACACTACTTTTTCTATATATTCTGCTTCTCCAGAGTTCTGGGCAGTCTTCCGCTTAAGTTCTTCCACATTCCGCTCTAGCTCGCTGATGCGCTGGGAGGCGTTGAACAAGGTTTCCTCTGAAGCTGCTGTTTCAGACTCAATCTAAAAGTGTGTCAATCATCCAGCAAGCCATTAGTTTAAGAAATGGTAGGAATCACTATGAGTACAAATTTGGAGGAAAATTTAAAAGTCTGCTGTGACATTTTGCTATAGAGCAAAAGAATTACCAAAAAAAAAAATCTCCAAAAAACTTGTATGAAGTGCTCATACTTTACTCCTTATCACATATATTTATTCTTTTGGTACTTCTGATGGGCTAAGCTGAGATGTACGATTTTTCCTTACTGACAGGAAAAACCACCCCAAGGCAATTTGATGTGTTGAGAAAGCATTTTAAGGACACCTGCAAACTTTGGCTAAAGAACATTCATAAATAAGCAGCTGTGAGAAGAGAGATTTCCACATAAATTTTCAAATTAATGTAATGGGAAATTCGAACTTCCAATCATCATTTTAGTTTTTCTTATCAACTCTAAATGTTAAACTTTAATAGTGGAGGTTTCAGTTAATTACTGAGGACATAGAGACTAAGAATGTTCTTTGAAACTCTGAAAAGTTTCTATAGAATTGTGAGATGACACATGGTCTAGAAAAGTTACAGTTGGAAGCTATAAATATTTAGTTATTTAAGGGGAAAAAGACATCATCTGGGCAACTGGTGAGAACCCACATTTTGTCTCTTTTCACAGAAGATAAACATTGACTTTTTAAAAGCTACCCAAAATAAGCAACTGGGCTTCTGACAGATGAACTAATTTCACTGAGCACTAAATTTTTCTTTTAAATTATCTTTAAGGATGGGTGGTTCCAATCCATAGAATTAACTCTGAATAACAGTACTGCTATAATGAAATTAATGAGTCAGTATAGACAAATGCTAAAATCTGTAAATATTTCAAATCTAAGAACCTCAAAGTTTACCCATCAATTAACTTAAAATTCTTAGAGTAATTATAATGCTTACAAAATGAATTTTTATTTTAAGATGAGTGAATTGTTTCTGACAAGCTTTCATGAGCATAGATTAGAGGTTCTCTTTATTTCTTATTGTTACTAACCTAAAACACTTCCTGCCCCCAGAATCCCTGAAAAACAAAACCACATTAACTTGCATCATCAAACCACATATCTCCTCAGCTATAATATTTTCCAAATTGCTTTTCAAAACAACTGTTTCAGAAAAAAGGGTCTTGCTGTGTTGCCCAGACTGCTATGTTGCCACAATCATAGCACACAGTATCCTTGAACTCCTGGCCTCAAGTGATCTTCCTACCTCAGCCCCCTGAATAGCTGGGCCTACAGGCACATATCACTGTTCCTGGCTTTCAAAACAGTAATTTTTAAAGTTACTGAAATAAAGTTCAATAAAATGTTAATGGTACACTGACAAATTTGAAAACCCAGAGATAGAAAAGTCAAAAAGTTTTTCTGTGAAAGCAGGATTTATTGAGAGGACAGAAAATCACCCACAGTGGGAGGGGACCTGAGGGGGTTGCCCAAAAGTCAAAATATTTGAAGTTACAACTTAGCTTGATGGGGAAACTTAATTTTTCTAATACTCAAAATTTAGAGAAAAATGACTAAACGAATTATTAGGCTTCATTTCACTGACAGCAAGAGAACAAGGGAAGGTTTGTATCAGCTAACTAATGGTGGAAAAGCATGTTGAAAACTATCTTCCAGGGTTTAAACATAAGGAAGGTTCACCTGAGAAGGCTTATGGTGCTGGGTATGGGGAGCATCTAATTTTAAAGTATATTCTGACAACATATTTAGGGATTGGATGAGTCATCACTGACAACATGTTTAGGGATTGGATGAGTCATCAATTTTCTTCATTTTTTTAAAGGAAAGCTTTCCTAAAATTAGAGGGACAACAATTAACTTAACTTTTAAAAAGAACGAATAAAATAGAATTATGTTTGCATTACTTCTAAGAGATTAAGAGGATTTTTAGAATAAAAGCACAAAATCCCTATGAAAAATCCTCTCCCTAACGAGTGCCTTTAATATCTCTGGTAGTCTCTAAGTAGATTGTTTATGCATTCTGAACAGAGCAGATTGTTTAGTTATAAGATCTCTATTATGCTCCCCTAAAAATTAGGCTTTAGAAACAGATTCACTGCTCTCCAGTGGTTTTCAAAACTATTGTATAGTAAAATTTTTGTGACTGATGACCAAAATCTTGAGACAGCGGTCAGTTTTGAGAAAACAGTTTTCTTAAACTGAATTTTGATATTAGTATTACATTTCATACTACTGAACAGAATATAGGCTAGTTCCTGCAAGAATAGTTTTTTCTTGGACTTTTTTGTGGGAGAGAAAATGAGAGGGGGCTTAATGGTCTAGTGTCTTCCGTCCTTTTTTTTTCCTTGAAAATATATCTCCACTCACTTTTAGCATTCTTGCTATGGGAGTAGTTTAGATTAAAATTAAAGGAATCCTTTAATGTTGAGTTGTAAGAATTTTTGTTCATAGATAACTATCAGATGCACATTTCTGATAAGAATATACATGGATGTTTTCTCCTACACATAATAATGATTGTAATATCTTACCGAAGTTAGGAGGTTCTGGGTTCCTTGGATGTCTTCATCTGCTTGTTTGATTGCCTTCTCTGCTGCAATCTGGGCCTTTTCTGCTTCTTCCAGAGCTTCCTTTACCATATCTGCAGTGACTTTAACATCTGTTGCACTTTTGCTGAGTGAAAGAAAGATATAAGACAAATATATTGTTTGTGACCATGAAAAAAGTATTTTCAAAAAAGATCACTTCTCTTACAGAATACCTCCCCCTCCCCCATTGTCGACTAGGACCAGTGGCCCATGCCTGTAATTCCAGCACTTGGGAGGCCAAGGAGTTAGAATTCCTTGAGCCCAGGAGTTCGAGACCAGCCTGAGCAACATAGTGAGACTTCGTCTCTACACAAAAAATAAAATTAAAAAAATTAGCCAGGTGTGGTAGCACATGCCTCTAGTCCCAACTACTCGGGAGGCTAAGGCAGAAGCATCACCTGAGCCCAGAATGTCAAGGATGTTGTGAGCCATGATGGTGCCACTGTACTCCATCCTGGGTGACAGAGTGAGACTCTGACTCAAAAAAATAAGAATATCCTTCCTGAAATGACCAGACACTCACAAGGGTCATTCTTCAAAATCTCATTGGCTAAAGAAATACTCTAACTCCATGCAAGGTAGACAAAATAAGCCCCTTAGATGCCATGTCTATAGATACCTGGCTCTTTTAGCTTCTTCTAACAACATCTCAGCTCTGGCAATGTCTGTAGCACTTTGCTGGAGGATAACCTCTACTTGAGAAAGGCTTTCGACTCGTTCCCGTATGTCTTCTGTCAAGGTCTGTAATTGCTCTGGGGTGCTAGGCATTTCCATTTTCAATACTTCATTAGCAACTGCTTCAATGCTGTCCAAATCAGCACTGTCCTCTGAAAAGCGAAGATGTCCCCCAAAGAGGTGAAAAACCATGGATGGTTTACCCATTCAACCACTTGTCATCTCCTATGTGAACAGCACTCTAGGGTTATACTGAGACACTTAACTTTGTTTAGAGAGTTTATAATCTAAATGGGAGGGGGATATGAGACACACAAAAGACCACGAGCACCACTAGAATTTGCCTTAGGCTGAGTTAGTAAGGGAAGACTTCATGGAGGGTGAGGAACTGACCAGGTTTTGAAGGATGGCAGGATTTAGAAGAAAGGACAGTTGTAGATAGAGAGCCAGGAAGGGCAGCACATGTTATGTGAATGTCTAGATGAGTAAATGATTCAGATTGTGGGACACCATAAAGGCCAGTGCTTGAGGCTGGGACTTGAAGGCAATGAAGAATAGCTAGGAAACGATTGTTAATACAGATACAGAGAGCTGATGTTCCTTATAGATTACCTAGACTCAGGAAATTATAGAAAGGGAGAAAATAATAAAAAAGTTGGAGAACAGGACAGTGTGTTACCAGCGAAGCCAAGTAGTTTCAAATGTCAAATATGGATGGTGGGGAAAAAAATGACAAAGAGGTTAAGCTTCAGGTATGTCAGATTCTTATTTGTATGTGCCCTAAACTGTTAACATAAAAATGAACCTCAATGGATTTATTCACAAAACATAAAAATGAACCTCAATGGATTTATTCACAAGAAAATGTGTGCTTCAATGCTGGCTTCCATAGGCTGTTCCCTAAGATATCCTTAGCAAATACTGCAACTCCTTATTAGCCATTTCCCCTTCTTTCTTGATAACAGAATACTGATTTTTTTCATGTATCGACTTCTAAGGTCAGGTATAAGGATCGACTCAGCATTAAGTCCTGATTAGTCTGCCAATTACTGTAATCACGTTTATTTTCCAGTGACATTTATGCATTGGCATGTGACTTATTCTTGGCCCATGAGATTTATGGTGATGACTGCCTAAAGGCTTCTGGGGAAGGTTTCTCCCTTTTTTTTTGAGCCAGAGTCTCACTCTGATTCACTCTGTTGCCCAGGCTGGAGTCCAGTGGCATGCTTATGCCACCGCAGCCTTGACCTGCTGGGCTCAGGTGATCCTTCCTCCTCAGCCTTCCAAGTAGCTAGAACTGCAGGCATGCGCCACCACACCCGGTTAAGGTTTTAAAAAGATACAGTAAAGGAATAGATGTTCTATTCTTCCATTGTTATTCTGTCTAAATGAGAAGTCTGGAACTTTGCAGCCACCTTGTAACCACGAGGAGCTAGCTTGAAACAAAGCCAGTGTGCTTAAGATGGCAGAGTAGACAAATGAAACGTACATAGGTCCCAGATCCATGAAGCTATCTTGCCACTGGACTTCTTACTCAGATGTGGGAAAATAAACATCTTTGTTGATTTAGTCTGTTTCAATTGTGCGTTTTCTGTAACTTGTATTCAAAACTATCCTTACTGATACTACGCAAATTGACAGAACACTTGTGATCTGTACCACAAATTCTAGAGATTTTCTTTATAGAACACTTAAGGAACAGAGCCGTTTAACTACAGATGGAATATACTGTAAATAATGGAATTACAAAGTTCTGGGGGAATGATAAACTCCACTTTAGGTTCTGATGACATTGCATGTAATCTCTAACAGATTCCAAACTCAATTCTCACAGTAAGTGTTTGATTTTTGACTGCTACTTGAGTAACTCATCAGGTGTGTCTATATCTGCACAACACTGGAGAAGGTTACTTGACAGACATACATATGCCACATAAGAAATGGAAACACAGCCTGGGCAACATGGCAAGACCTCATCTCTACAGAAAGCCTCCAGCTACTTGGGAGGCTGAGGTGGAAGGACTGCCTGAGCCTAGAAGGTCGAGGCTGTTGATTGTGCCACTGCGCTCCAGCCTGGGTGACAGGATGAGACCCTGACTCAAAAGAAAAACAAGAAATGAAAATATCTCTTAAGATGGACTTTTCTTTTTCTTAATTTGGAAATGTCATGCAATACACTATCAGAAATTGATTTAATAAAAAATGCAGATTTGAGTACTGGCTTCTCAAACAGAGAATCTCATAGAAAAAAATAACTAAAGGTAAAATGATAATGAAAAAATTTCTTACGGGTCAAAAAGTTTCTGATTTCCTTGATCAGATTTCTTAGACCCTCATTGCTCTTGTCTACTTTTGCCTTCGTAGCATTTGTCTTCAGCAGAACATCCTGAGCATTCTGTTTTGCCTCATCTGCCCTCAGTTTTGCTTCAGAGACCTGTTAAATGGGAAGAATGAGTTACACATGGAAGAATTTTTCTAAAGCAAACCACAATATTAGAAATGGTCCAAAAGATGATGTTGAAAACTATGCATTTGAAATCATGTTTCTGAGAAACAACTTTATCCCGTTCAGCAAAGTACTATACTCCTATACAGACTGGACATATTCAGCCTACAGATTCATATGTAAATAGGGCTAGCATTTAAAATTTCAAGTTGTTTTTAACTCCTACATAACATTTGATGGCCTGTGAAATGTTCCCTAGTCTCTTTCTCAGGTGTCCCCATAAATTCTTCAGTTAAAAGTATGTGTCACTTTAGAAGAATAAAGGCTCAATTGCTTAGTATAGGATTTTTGTAGTACAGCTGGATGTAATTATAACCCCAGAGTCATGATAAGTAATGCGGTTTTCTCAAATTATCATCAGTCTAAGATTTGAACATCTTGTCCTAAAGCATGTGTTATTCCCCTGTGAGGAGAAAGCACATTCTTTATAAAGAAAATCTCCCCATCTCTTTTTCTGATCTCACGGAAACATAAACTTTCATACTTGATTGTGGCAGGCCCTTTTCATTTTAGTCAGCATTTAGAATGATTTCTCCCTCTCAGCTCCTCCAGTTCCCAACTGAAAGCAAACAAACACATGTAACAAGACCCAAGGCTGCCCACTGAATCACCATCTTGGAGAGCTGTTCCACTTCAGCCAGGGCACTCAGGACATCTTGGTCAAAGTCCATGGCTTTCTGCCAGGCACTGTGTGCAACCGTGACCAGACCACCACAGCCAGGCCCCCCACACTTCTTCTGTCCTTCGTCGGTTCTGCAGTTCGGGCCGCCACAGTCAGTCTCAGAACAGGAGGCCCCTGGAGGCGTTCCACAGGTCTGCAACAAGCCAAGGATCAGGCACAAAGGTTCACATCGTGAGTCTGCTGTAGCAAAACAGCTGTGCAAGGTCTGGGTGGCCCCAGAGAACATGTAGGTGGTCCTCAGCAAGGGTGCTTGAAAACATAGTGTTTGGGTGACAAGAGAAAGAGAGGAGCAAAGAGCTTAGGAATAAGCTAACCTGAGAGAACAAAGTTTAGTACTCCTCATCACTATCTTCTGCCCAAGTGAGTTAAAATACCACAGGGGCTCTGCCCAGGGAGCAAACATGATCTGCTGTATCAAGTTGAATTCTGCCTGTGTGGGGGGTCAAAGAATGTTTCTCTTTTTCTAAGATCAAACTGGCAAACAGGTGAACGTTCTTTGGGCTCAGCACCATGTTAAAAGTGCTCTGGTAAATATGGTGACATAAAAGGCCTTATATGTAGCCTTCTAGGAACTTTCCATCCAGTTAGGAAGACAGAATCACTCCACATAAAATAGCCAAGAATAGATAAGAAGTCCCCCAAGACACCCCACACCCCCAAGATGTAGTAAATATGAGGGAAAGTGGACAAAGGAGAGGCTGTGGAGGAATGCAACAGTTGAAGCTGAGGAAAGATCTGGCGGCTGGTGGAATTTGAGCAGGGGAAGTGGGAGAACATTCCATATGTTAACACAGCATGAACAGAGGAACAAAGGTGGATGTAGCTTTTCCAAGTTTCTATCCCCCACAGCCATCACATGTGCACAGAGGCCGCCTTCCTTACTGCTCAGTCATGGCATACAAATGCCAGTTGGGAAATTAGAAGTGTGTTGTGTGATAGAAAAGACTGAGCGTGAAGCAAATTGTATCCAGAATGATTCTTTTGTAGAAGACACTCATGCAGAAAAGAGGCAAAAGATGGACTGCCATGAAAAGCAGTGAACAGGATATTCCCAAATAAGACAAGGAAAGCATTGTTTTAAAGAACTAAAAAAGTCGTTTTTGAATAAATACAATAAAATTTTTAGCCTAGTAATGTTAAGATAACTATAATCTCATGACATCTCAAATGATAACTAAAACAGTCTTTCATGCATCTGGTTTACAGTGCATGAAAAGTTTCAGAAAATAAAGTTTACTCTGCAAGCGGCAGAAGAATATGCACCTTAATCAAGGAGAGAAACGTAAACCTTCTGGGATGCTCTCAAAACACTAGGAGATCTGTTTTGTTTCAATAGATGGACAGACATGAAAAAACCAGCATGGTTCTAGCCAAATATCTACAAAGATAAAGTAAGTACCTAAAACAAAAGGACAAAAATCTATCGTTACCAAAGGAAATGGCAGTAACGGCCCTATAGAGTTCTCATGGGCTAATCAACAGAGACAAAAACAGTAAGAGAAAGAAGCTGGCTCAGCCCTAGTTCAGATGCCAGGTGGCAAAACAAGCACAGGGAAGAGCACACATCTATAAGGTCAGAGGGACCCCCACTCCAAGAGGCCTCCTGTGACAAAACAAAAATCCTGTAGCATGCTTAGCTGCTTCTCACTGTGGGTCACAGAGAGTTTGCAACGATTGATTTCTTACTAGTGTATAAAGAAGGAATCAGCACCCAAAGGAGAAATTGAGAAAATTGGCATTTCATGTCCATATATAACAACTCTGCCTATTGTTAAGTGCAGTTTGTACATTGCTCTAGGCCTTCATTTTTCTTTTTCATTTGACAAATGGTGAGAGGAGACATCATTTGCTCATGATGTCCCCTAGCTGTAAAATTCCATAAGATAATAAATATAAAACCTTGCAGGCATCAATAAAATTGGTCATAACATAATGCAGGTAGTGTGTTCTTGTCTATTTCAGAGAATGTGAGGAAGATAGAAATGGGGAGCTCATCAAGACAAAGTTGTGATGAAGTCTGAATTCTTCAGTCACCTGCTCACCTCCCTTCTCTTACTGTTCTTCTGTGTTTCCCAGGCTAACAGAACACAGGCCTTAGTCTACACAAAGTACCCTCCAAAGTCTCTCCAATAGGTATCCTTCCATGAAAAACACTGAGGAAGCAGGAGAAAGAAACAGGTTCAGTTTGGCTTTTTTTGGCCTTCTGCCTGATTTTCATTAAACTAATGATTCAATTTCATTTGGCTCCAGAGTAGCTTTTAAAAGCTTCCTGGAGATGAATCTACTTTCTAGGCTGGTTTTGGGGTTAATCTTCAAGTAAAGTTACTGGAACAAAGGAGTATTTTAGCTAACACCCATAGAAGAATTCTTTTGTTCCCTTTAATTTTTTAAGAAAGGCTTTTCTAGAATGATTCAGAATTCCTTCACTGAGATGAATTTTACACTTCAAAATCAGAATAAAGTAACAAAGAAATGTCCGAGCCAGGCATGGTAGTGCATGCCTGTACCTCAGTACTCAGGAAGGCTGAAGAGGGAGGATTGCTTGAGCACAGGAGTTTGAGGCACCTGGGCAAGATAGCAAGAACCCGGTCTCCAAAAAAAAAAACAACCAAAAAAAGCAATGTCCACAGTATAAAAAGAATCAAGTTTCACTGAGATGTCACTGAATCGATGGAAGAGTTATGGGAGAATAGACATGATTCTTTGGTTGTGTACCACAGAGAAACAGCTGAAAGAAAGGAAGGCTGCTTAGCTGACATGCTGTTTTTCATCTGTCTTGGTCGTAGATACCACATACCATGGTACAGAGACATGAGCCTAGGATTTTCACTCCTGCTGATTCATTTGCAGACTGAATAATATTAAAGACAAAGCAGGGTATTTTGCTTTGTTTTCCCCAGAAGGCACCACAGAAGTGAGGCCAAACCCCCAAACCTCACCATCTCGGCAGCAGCTGAAAGGTCTAGGCTCTGTAGTTTGCCTGCCAGTTCATCAAGAAGGCGAGCCTGTTCCTCTTGCTTTTCCCTGAACTGAGACTCTCGCTCCAACATCAAGTCTTCGACTCTGTCTCTCGTGAGAGCTGACTGCTCCACGGTGCTGTTGGGTTCTGTGGTGGAGGCGTTCACCCTTTCCTCCGCCTCAAGAGACATCTGGAAATACTTGGTGATGCTATCCAAGGCGCCTAGGGTGGGAATGGAATTGCCCACAGTTAATCTTGTCATGCTAGGTTTCTTCACCAATTAGTGCCCGGATGTGGTGTCTTCTGGCCTTAAATTTATTTTAAGTTTTAAAATTCAAAAAAGAAGAGATTTATGAAGTATAGTTTTCTTCTTATGACTGATAAATATGTTTTGTCCCATCAGCACTTGGTCTAGCCCTGCCAGAATCTGGTCACAAATGAAAAAGTAAACCAGGCAGATGTTCCTGTACACTAGCAAACATACAGTTCTTTCTGAATAGCTGGTGTCAGGCAGCCTGTAAATTATATGTCCAGATGGGTTTTCCCTCTTCTCAGTCATGTACTGAGATATGCTCAAAAGACTAGTAAAGTCAGCTCTCCATTCTCGTGGGTTCCGTATCTATGAATTCAACCAACTGTAGGTTGAAAGTATTCAGGAAGGCCTGACTCGAAGACTCAGCCTGTAATCCCAGCACTTTGGGAGGCCGAGGTGAGTGGATTACCTGAGCCTGCGGGTTTGAGACCAGCCCGGACAACTTGGTGAGACCTCGTCTCTACAATAAATCAAAAATTAGCTGGGCGTGGTAACATGCACCTGTAGTTCTGACTACTTGGAAGGCTGAGGCGGAAGGATCACCAGAGCCCAGCAGTTGGATGCTGGAGTGACCGTGAGCATGCCACTGCACTCCAGCCTGGGTGATGAAGTGAGACACCATCCAACTCAAAAAAAAAAAAAAAAGTATTTGGGGGGTGGAAAGAAGAATGGTTGTGTCTGTACTGAATATATAAAGATTTCTTTTTTTTGAAAGTCAGGGTCTCACTCTTTTGCCCAGGCTGGAGTGCATTGCCTTGATCACTGTTCACCACAGCCTCAACCTCCTGGGCTCAGGCGATCCTTCTGCCTCAGCTTCCCAAGTAGCTGGAACTACAGGTGAGCACCACCACATCTGGCTAATTTTTAAATTTTTTTGTCGAGACAAGGTCTCACTATGTTGCCTAGGCTGGTTTTGAACTCCTGGGCTCAAGCAATCCTCCCGCCTCGGCCTCCCAAAATGCTGGGATTATAGGCTGAGCCACTGCCTGACCAGACCTTTTTTTCCTGTTATCATTCCCTAAACAATACAGTATACTATTTACTTGGAATTTACATTGTATTTGGTATTATAAGTAATCTAGAGATTATTTAAAAGTATACAGAAGAAAAAGAAATATAAAAATAAAATTCAAAAAAGAAAGGAAAAAAGTAATGCTGGACACAGTGGCTCAAGACTAATTCCAGCTTATTGGGAAGCTGAGGCAGGAGTATTGCTTGAGTCCACAAGTTTTAGACCAGACTGAACAACATGGTAAGAACCTATCCAAATAAATAAATAAATAAATAAATAAAGTAGGGGCTGTGCAGAGGTCATGTGCAAATACTACGCTATTTCATGTAAGGGACTTGAGCCTCTGTGGATTTTAGTGTCCAAGGCGGATCCTGAAACCAATTCCCCACAGATACTGAGGGATGATTGTATTATGTATATAAAAATAGCATGACACATTCTGGCTTTAGGGACCTAGTCAGGGAATAAAAGCAGTCATGCATGAAACAGGATAGAAAGTGTGATCTCACTTATTTCTAGTTTCTTTTGCTTTCTGTGAAGGGTCGTCTATGGCCTGTGATAATCAGTAAATGAAGGATTTGCAGAAATTATTTCCTGACTAAGCAACATTCTTGAATGTACAAGGATTTGCAGAAGTATCTACTTAATACCTCAAATATTCAAAAAGAGCCTCTTTCCAAGAAAAGACTAGGGTTTTTCCAGTTAGTTAAGCCACTGGAAAAAAATCAGGAAATGGATACCATTCTAATGCAAGTGGTGCCACACACTTTATAGGACCCTGGCTGTGTCTCTTAGTTTCCCTGAGTCCCAAGTCCCACATTTGTAAAAGGGGAACTTTAATCCTCATTTGTGCTAGAGACTCAGTGAGCAAGTTTCTGAATTATTAGAAGGCACTGATTTTTTTTTCCCAGAAAGTGCTATATTAGAATGTTAAACAGATAGTTAAATCCATTGTCCAGAGCTGAGTATTTGCACAAAAATGCTCACCCCGAATATCTGAGTTTTTGATAAATTCCAATTGTTCAGCAAGTTCTTTTACAGTGTTGTCTAAGCTTTCTGCCTCTGTCTGTAGAGAATCCAGTTCTTTGGCTGTGCTGTTGCTTTGGGAAGCTGTGTCAGATAATTTCACTTCTATTTGAGCCATCTTTTCTGAAACATCTTTGGTTAGTTTCCTGTAGAGAGAAAGGCAAGGTTACCTATGTAAAACAAGCCAGAGGGGGAGCTTTACAGTTTCATTTTTACATTTTCTACTAGTATTGTATTCTTTACTTTCTGTAATTTCAAACTAATTCAGTCATTTGCAACAATTCATCTCTTTCTGAGTACTGGTTTTATTCTCCTTATCATAAAAGATTATATTAAATCTAACCAATTTTCTTTCCTCGAAGACACTGAGGAAAAACAGAGGTACTACTCAACTGTGTTGTGGTGGCCAGGCCATTTGAGAGATTCATGTGCAATGCATGTAATATGAGCACAGGTCAGAGTGTGGAGCCCCAGCTCCATATGCGAGCAGCTTCAAGCCCTTACAACAGCGAAAACTCAAAAGACAAATGACTCCAGTGTAGAATTATGCCCCCTACCTCCTGCCAAACAATGTTCTCTGAGCCTCAGGGATCTCCTTCAAGATGAAACTTGCAGAGAGGAAGCCCCACAGCCCATCACGAAGACAATAAGAGCAGCCAATGCCAGCTTTCATAGCCATCCCCCCCCCCCCGTTTAAGCAAAGTTCCATCAAAGTCGCCTCCCTCTTCTACCACCAACAGCCCTTTTATTTTATTTTATTTTATGAAAGAAGGTAGTATCTGAGAAAGAAATGTGTATCCCAAAGAAAAGAAGACCTCAGCTCTGAGTCTTACTGGTTCACTCATTGAACATGACTGTCTTCTAGGAATATAATAGTATACAAGCAAGCACTGGGAAAATGTAAAGATTCTGAAAGGCTGGGGATCATTAGAAAAATCATATGGAAGGCTGAGATAAAATCATGACTGAGCTCAAAGAAAAAGTACTTAAAGGGATACTTTGGTTTGGGGGATTAAATGACGTTTTATAAACCCAATGAGTTTTTTTCCTGAGGATAATATATGGTCTTTTTTCAGTACTTTGCTTTTATTAATCAGTTGACTCATGGAAGGTTTTCATTTCTTCTCAGGTCTCATAAAATGGTATAGTTTAAAAAAAAAATCTAACGTCATGTATTTTAAAATATGGCCACTTTAATAAACAGTTATATACCTAACCCTGAATTGTACCCCACATCTTTAAAATTAAAAAATAAGTAAATAAAGATGGCCACTTTGGTTCCTAAAATGTGCATCCTTGGATAGTTAGTGTTTTGACTAGTTTTCCTGTGATTACAATCCATCGAGTTAAATGAATAGTGAGAGTGGAAACAGAACTCTTTCAGGAATGTAATCTCTCTTCTGGCAAGCTCTCAAAGGACATCAGATTTTTCTCCTTCTCCCAGAGGTGCATGAGACCCACGCCAAGAATTGTTTCCTTGAAGGGCTTACACTCAGACCACAGCCTTCCAGAACTTGTGATCGCTGCACATTAGGAGGCTTAGTCTTTTTAATGAGGTAAAAGACCTCATTAAATGCATTATCACCCCACATCAGACATTTCCTAGCACCCTGGTCAACCACATGGTCTTGGGCATAAAAACTGACACTTGAAATCAAGGGACCAGTTTCTTTAAATCTTGAAGGTCTAGGAAGGGCCTTCTTTAAGTCCCTTGAGATAATACCAGCTGTCTCCTTCCTGCTTCTCATGCACAGTATGAGATAAAAAGCTCCTTTAATGCTGATTAAGGTCCCAATACATGCAAAAAATGTGACTGTAATTTCATAATGTAAAATCACCTTATTAGTGTACAGTATTTAGCTATGAAGGCCCTTGCTCAGGCCTAGATGGCGAGTCTGCAATAAAAACCATAGTGTCTGGGGAAAAACAAGTGCTTCAGACCATTTTCTGTTTTGTCCTTCAGCTCTTAGGCCTTACTGTGCTGTTTTTGGAAAAAATAATTGGGATGTTTAGGGGCAGGAGAGATGAGGCCAGGAGAAAAGGTAAAAAAAAAATTACCCCTGAGGAGTACAGCATCACTCTAGGCTTCCACGAACAAAATAAACACTATCTGATCAGAGGGATGATTACCCAGGGAAGGGCCAGGACAAGGGTTTTTTTTATTGTAGAGAAGTTGTTATCATTAGATGAATGAAGCACTGATCTGGTGGACTGATCAGTGGAAATAATTTGAAATAAAGAGTCTTAATTGTGGTAACAGAATTCCCCTAGTAGTAGCAATACTCACAATAATTTATATTTACAATCCTTTTTGCAACCACATTATCATTTCATAGATCAATCCTTTTGCTACTCCATAAGATAAAGGCAAATATTATTATCCTATCCTCCTCTACAGGAGAGAAATAAGAGGCTCAGGCATTAAGTGAGTCATCCGGGTTCCTAAGCCAGCACATGGCAGAGCTGAGACTCAAGGATGGCTCTTTGTCTACCAAATCCAGTGGTTCTCCCATTCTGCTGCCTTAGAGCATTATTTGCAAGAGGAGTGCTGGTTAGAGCACTTGCGCTTTCTATACTGCAGCCTCCAGAAGGCTGGTTCCCACCAGTGTGCCAGCATCCACTCACCCAAATGCCCCTTCTAGACTGCTGGAAAGTAAATGGCCCAGAATCTGTTTTCACTCACAGGACTCACCAAGCCTTCTAATAGAAACACCATGCCAGGAAATCTTTGCTGTTTATTCATAAAGTTGAAAAAACACTGAGTTGCTACTCTGGCTCATTAACTACTTACTCCGCTTCCTCAAAGAGAATCCCAATGTTTTTCAGTGGCTCTGCTGCTGGGCTCTGTGCCAGGATGTCTTTTATCTCGTTCACTTTCTTCTCCACCAAGTCCATAGTCTCCCGGTAAGGCCCGATCACACCACTGATCTTCAAGGCCTTGGCTTTCTCCAGGAATTTGTGGGTCCTGTTTGTCAACTCGGCAATGATCACATCCCAGAGAGCAAAGCACTGGTGGCAGGGTGTGCAGTCAGGGAAGACTCCCGAGTACCCTCGTGTGCACTTGTCACAGCGTGGACCCTCGACACCCTCCACGCAGACACACTGGCCGGTGGATTGGTCACACTGCGGCGTCTCAATGCCCCTGGGGTCACAGTCACAGGCTAGAAGGGAAACAGCAACGTTAGCTGATCCTACTTGATCACAAACCTCAGTGACAAGACTTGGCATCTAGAATCTTCATTCACTGTTAAAATGGGAAAGTGTCAACCGATGACAATTTACCAGTGGCTCATGTAGAAACTACAGCAGCCTCCTCCAGCACATGCATGATCTCAACTCCTGCTAACTCCTTCTGAACAGCCATAGTCAAATAATAATTAAAAAATTAACAGCTAACGCTTGATTGAACACTGTGTGCCAGGTATTGTAGAAGTGTTTTACACACGTCACCTCACGTAACCCTCACAATAGCCCTGTGGGATAGGTGTTACACCAATCACTATTTCACAGATGCGGAAGCGGAGAGATTACATATCAGGTCCCAAGTCTCATAACAAGGGAAAAGTCGTGCTGGGATTCTGACTGAGCACTTTGCAACTCCAGAATCTAGGCTCTTAGCCTCCGTCCTGCCTCTGCCACCCTCTTACTGGGATTTCCCTGCAGACCATGTCAGTGTAGACAATTCCAGTTACATCCTGATAACATGAGCCATCTGGCAGGAGATATAGCACAAACAAGCAACTCTTAACAGACCCTATCTCATCACAAAACAGAACAGAAATACTTAGTGAAATGCAATAAACTTGACCAAAAGACAACTAATTCTGAAAGAAGTCACAGGAATTCTAAGCATCTAGTTTAAAGGCTCTCAATTAAGTAGAATCTAACTTGTGGGTATCTGCCATTGTGATAACCACTCCCAGTACTGCAAGCCTGTAGGCTCATAAAATGTCAGAAGGATACTGGGAGCCATTCAGTTTCAGTCTCAGCCTCTCACACAGAGTCAAATGGCACATGGTAAAGTCACACATTGTACAGAGTAAAAATCAGTGTTCTTAGTCAATAGCTGTGGCCGAGATTATTTATCACAATGGCTGTGTTGCTGAACCCTGGCTTAGAGTCCCAAATCTTAGGTGATCAAATCATTTTTATATCAACACCTGACATTTCACAGTATTTGTACAGTGTTTGAGTAACAAAAGGCCTGTACACACATCTTACTGCTGGCCTTCAGTCCATTCTGGGAAAAGGTGGGAATAAATTAATGAAAAGAAAACAAATCCTGGTTAGATTGTGGACTCCAAGGGCAGGGGCATGCCTTAAACCACTTTTCCTTTCTTAGCATTAGACACAGGGTTAACTTGCAATTGGAATTCAACAGTCTTTCCCGAATGAGGCCCCAGCCTCATTTCAGTATAGGTATGCAAAAGACCTTGACGTACCTTTATAAAAGAAAATAATCCACATAAAGGGCAATGTCAACTGTGGCAAAGCACAACAGATTCATGCTCTCGTAATATCTTTATAAACTCTTCTTGGGTCAGTAGCTGTGATTTGTCTCTGAAAGACCTTCTTTCTTTTTTGGGGGGTCTCCCCCTGTCACCCAGGCTGGAGTACAGTGGCTCACTGCAGCCTTAACCTTCTGGACTCAGGTAATACTGCCTCAGCTTTCCAAGTAGCTGGGACTGTAGACATACAACACCACACCCGGCTAACATTTTTGACTTTTTTTGTAGAGACCAGGTCTCACTATGTAGCCCAGACTGATCTCGAACTTCTGGTCTCAAACGATTTTCCTGCCTTGATCTCCCAAAGTGCTGGGATTACAGATGTGAGACACCAAGCCCAATCTGAAAAACTTTCCAATAGAATATTTTCCAGAAGCAGTTATATGGAAGGTCCTGAGAGCTGCGTATGACACCTCCATCTTCTCAAAGGGATGTGTCTGTAGTCTGCACCGATTACTTGACCCTCATTGTGTCCTGCCTTGCATTGCTAATTTATCTTTTTCTTGCCTTTGACCTTCAACTACATTCCAAGTTCTTGAGTGGCAAGTTTGAGGCATACAGCATTGTGATGGACTGAGTGTAAATTCTGCCTTCTTCCTCACCCCAGCTGCGTGATCCTGGGCAATTAGGAAACTGAGTCATGCCTTCCATATCTGTAAAAAGGGTCATTGATTATACCTACCTCACAGGATTGCTTACAGGATAAAATAACTTATTTATAAAGTGCTTAGAAGAGCATCTGATCTATAGTTAGCATTCAATAAACAGTTTTTATCATTACTTTGCATGTCCCTACAAGTATCTGGTAGTCTCCTGCTCTAAGTATTACTTGATCACATTTCCACTGGAGAAAGGAAAAAAAAGTGGCCCTGTTTGTTTTTATGTATTTGCCAGCAACATCATGATTATTAAAAAATTTGAAGTTTAGACTATTTCATTCCTCAATCTTTAAGGTTTGAAAACATATCATTTTCGTGGTGCCTTGAGTTTTTAAAACTAAAGCTTAGGATTTCAAAAGTTAGATTTTTTTTTTTAAAAAAAAAACAGATTATTTCTTTCCAAGCACTTTAGGTATGTTTCATTTTTCCTGTTTTGGGGAGTAGTCTCATACTGAATCAGAAAGCAGCTTAGGCAAACTGTGGATAACTTTAGTTGTGATCCTAGACCATTAATTCTGTGCTATGTTCTCCTTGAAAAAATATTCCATGATTAAGGTTAATTTGGGGAATTCTATATCCCCTTCTTGAAGATTAAATACTCAGGAGTTCTGCCAGAAAAACCTTGTTTCACACTGTTTTTAACTAGTCAACCAACCTCATTTGACCGCGGGATCTTTTCTTAATGGAATATCTAGTGATGCCCCAGAGAAATAATGAAAAAAATAAACATTGGGAAAACCACTACATTCATCAATGTCTGAGAACAAGAAGAGCTGAGACAATGCTATACCTAAAGAGTTTATATTGTTTAGATTTTAGAAATGGATTTCCATACCACTGGGTAGATTTCTGTCATCTTCCAGAAAGCTAAAAAAGTTATTGGGTCACCTGGGTCCTAGCCTCTTAAACTTGGGCATGCATCCAAATCACCTGGAGGGGTCACAAAGTACAGATTGCCTCTACTCTCCTCCCACCATGCCCCAGATTCTGATTCAGTAGGCCTGGGTGGGGCCCAGGAATTTTTATTTCTTACAAACTTCCAGGAGATACTGACATTGAGGGTCACGAGACCCCATTTTGAGGAATATCAACTGTGTTATTTTGTCAGGTGTTTCTGCCTTCCATGTGTATGTTAATGTGTGTGCGTATATTAATGTGTGTGTGTGTGTGTGTGTGTGTGTGTGTGAGAGAGAGAGAGAGAGAGAGAGAGAGAGAGAGAGAGAGAGAGTTTAAAAGGTGGAGCTGGAACAGAATCATGACTTTGGAAGTTCGCCAACATAGGTTGATACACAAGCCTAAGGACCTGTGTTAACAAAGGGACAAAAGATGCCATTTGTATTAGACGAATTAGACTGCTTTGTTTGTCCCTGTCCCAAAGGCCAGTGGTCAGTGTGAGCAGAAGGTGGCACAGCAAACCACCTGCTGGGCCTACTCACCCCGTGTCTTGGGCCTGAGGCAGATAAGGAGGAAGACAGATACTCTATGTGCTTTTAAGTTTGCTTAGAAAATTATTTCCTTTCCACAGTAAGTGCAAAGGGAAACTTTAGCTCAGTCTCAAATAGGTTTTTATTGGATTCATGCTTGGGGCAAGGGATGGGTGTGGACACTGAATTTATTTTTAATCTGAGAGAGAATTTTTTCTTTATTTCATTGCTAAAGGCATGTCTTGCTCTCATTCTGTCATAGCCATCTTCAATGGGCAACACTGGTCTAGCACTGTAGGACTTAAAAGGCAGATAAGTTTTGCCAGGCATGGTGGCTCACGCCTATAATCCCAGCACTTTGGGAGGCTGAGGCAGGAGGATTGCTTGAGCCCAGGAGTTTGAGACAAGCCTAAGCAACATAGTGAGACTATGTCTCTGCAAAAAATAAAACATTAGGTGGGTGTGGTGGCATGTACCTATATAGTTCCAACTACCTGGGAGGGCTGAGGCAGAAGGATCACCTGAGCCCAGGAGGTCAAGGCTGTGGTGAGCCATGATGGTGCCACTATATTGCAGCCTGGGTGGCAGAGGGGGACTCATACTCAAAGGGAAAAAAAGGCAAACAGTCAGATAAGCTTCCCTCATTATCTGGCCTGGGAGAGAATTCCAAAGGGCAAGCAAAGCTTCTACTCTCTCCAGAAGGCAACAGCCAGATCAGCTGAACTGACCATTTCTTTTTCCTAACTGAAAAGCAAATTGTCAAATTTCACAGATGACTGGATAGCCGTTTCATCACTGAAAGTTCAGTCCTGAACTCTCTCTGGAAGGGCACCAAAAGACTACACTAAAATGCATCAGGTTTTGATTTCAAGCCGAGGTTAGGACCTGTCAAAGCTTCTCTGGTCATGTGTCTCCTTCCCTGCCTGGTGAGTTTCCAGAATTGCTTCTTCTGGTGTTACCTGGGAGGCAAGCCCCCATTTATGATCTAGTAAAAAGACCCTCCAAGAATACTTTCAGTGGCTACAGCAGAAAGGTCAAGTCACATCTGACAATTTAAAACTTCATGGACACTAGCTTAATAACAGAGATTCTCCAAATATCTCTCACATCCATTGGGATCTGAAAAACTACAAACTGGCTATGCAGGCTGTCGCTGAGGTCCAATGGGGTTTCTCCTCTCCTATGAGAAACGGGTCAGAGTCCAGGTGACTTGGAGCGCAGTGAGGCTTTAAGAAATGGGATTATTTGGCAGAGAATCAAAAACTTTCTCTTGGACAGGAGAGTGAATATAGCAAAAGTTGTTGCTTAATCCTTAAGATGGGCAAATTGTGGAGATGACAAATAGCATTTTAAAAATGAGATAAGAAGACCTGCCTGGGTAACTTGGCGAGACCTCATCTCTGCAATTAAAAAAAAAAAAAAAATTAGCTGGGCGTGGTAGTGCGCGCCTGTAGTTCCAGCTACTTGGAAGGCTGAGGCAGAAGGATCGCTGGAGCCCAGCAGGTAGAGGCTGTGGTGGCTGGGAGCGGCCAATGCACTCCAGTCTGGGTGACAGAGTGAGATTCCAACT